GCGGCCGGGGGCGGGCCGCGGCCCCGGGGAGCGGGCGGGCGGCCGCGGCGGCTGGGGGGCGCCGGGGAAGCCCCTGCCCTCGCCCCACCGCCGGGCTGACCCCCCGGCAGCTTCTTAGCCATGAAGGGCTCTGCTTTCTTCGCCCCTCTGCTCTTCCCTGGGTGAATGATTGCTTGCTAAATGCAGGGCAGCACCGCTCCAGCGACCTGCGCTCTGCCTGCGCTCCTCCGCCGCTTCCCTTCTCTCTGCTTCCCCGGGAAGTCGTGCGAAGAAGTGGCTGGCAGAGATGCTTGTTTATCGTATTCATTGATGGTGCGTTAGGGTGCTAAGTGGAAGCCAAACTCCTTCAATCCAGCAATACAAAGAGAGCCTATATATAGCTGAAGACAAAAATGTGCAAAGGGCGGAACACCGGCAACAAAAAGATCTGTAGTTGCAAAGATGTTCATTGCTTAAAGCCAAGGCAAACGCTTCTGTAAGTCTGTTCTTCACTAGAGCTAAACTAGATGAAAGTTAAAATTTCACGTAGTGTGAATGACCCACCTCCTCTCTCCTGTGAGCCTGGCAGGAGAGCAGGGCTGGCCTTCACGGTCTCGCTGGTGTCCTCCTGCCGTTTGGCATGGTCAAAGTTGGATCATGTGGAAAAAGGTGCGTGAAGGGCTGATGTGGATGTGTAAGGAATAACTTTCCCCCAAACTTTCTTCCTAACCTCTTTGTGGAGGAGTGCCTTGAAGTGATTTCATTAAAGAAAATGTTCAGTGTCTGACAAGAGAGATTCAGCATCCCATGTGCTGAGACAGTTATTGCCTCTCTCCTTTCCTTCTCCCCCCCCCCCCCCTTTTTTCTTTTTAATCCACAGATCTGAAAGGGTGGGAAATGGTGATCAAGTAATGAGCAAAAAATAGCAGTCCCCCCCCCCCCCCCCTTTTTAGCTATAAATAGGGCTCTAGCTTTTAAAGTTTGGAGCTGTCCTGATTTTCGTTTGGTCCAGCCTCATTCTGAAGAGGAATACCTATTTTAATATCTGGTTCAGGTCCTAAGTACTCTCTGTATATTATAGAAACTATACAGTTAAAATATCCGCAGGAGTGTTGGGCCAAATCATGCAGTCCTTAAACTGGCCAGACTCGTGTAAGACTGTGTGCTTGGCCCCAAATAATCTCTTGAAGGACTTAACAGCATGGCACATAAAACTTGCTGTGAATAGGCTTTTGATTATTTCAAATGAACAAGTCTCTATTCTGATCTCAAATATGTGGATGCGCTTTGCCAAGTACCTTAAATTCATCTTCTGCACTTACAATAGGATGTGACAGTGCTTTTTTGTTCTTTTGACATGCTAAGCAGCATGCACCCAAATATTGGAAATGAGGACAGCAATTAAAATCTACATTTATACCGATGAGAAAGATGCCAGACTTACTAACTTCGCTGTAGTATGGCATATTACACACTTAACGTAATATTTAACCTCAGTTAAAATTGCTTGGCAATATGTGTCAGGTGATATGATAGTTTGGTAAAAGCTTTACAGAAGAAGCCTTAGTAAGAAATCTGGAAGTATTTCATGTCCAGATATAATGGAATGTTTAAATTGTTTCAATGGATCAATTGTATCTGAGATACTACATATACCAGATAAAGAGTATGCTACCACTTTTTATTACTTAAAAAAATTCCAAAATTACTAAATATTTCCTCCCAGTATTTTTGATTTGTGCATATGTAGAGAATAATTTAAGATGCCTAGGCCTTAAAACAGGGTTATCAAAACAATAAGACTATGGTGTTTGTAGTACTGAATAATATATAAGGTAATGATCAATAGTCCCTTACAGGGAATACATTTCATCTTTACATTAGCTTGGCTATAAATTTTCCCTATTGGCTTCAACTTGTGCTGTGTTAGATTTATGTGATTCATGCCTGTTACTGATTAGTGCTCAACTATTTTGTGGGAGATGCCAAATTAATTGTTCAAAAAATCCATGAAAGTGCTTTTTTATTGGCCGTGTGAGGCTCAACACCTACTATACTGTTATTTTATTATTTCATTTAAATATAGTTTCCAATAAGGTTTAAAAATAGTTATGTGGTGTGCTTTGACATGAAAATTCACAAAAGACCTTGAAAATGCTACTCTGTGCTTTATTTTGTGGCTCAGAAAGTAGCGTAACGTGGCAGTGTGCTTCTGAACGTTGCTGGATACCTCCTGTGAGATCATTACTGTCTTACGCGAACGCTCCCAAATAGGAAGCAATTTCCATTTTTTTCCACAGGACTTCTAGGTTTATGCAAGGTTTGGCTGGTAGCATCCTCATTGAAGGAGGTAAGCAATTTGCAGGGAAGGCTGCCAAAAAACCCCCCAAACCCTCAGAACCAGATGAGCTGATATTTGATACAGACACTTGCTGTACCGTGCACATCGATGCTGAACCTAGGAGCTTTGCAGGAGCAGTGCTTCTCTGCTAAATGTTCTTAGCTCTAGTGCACAAATGTCTGTGTGAACTTGCTGTTACGTGCACAGAATCATTTATACACTATTACTTAGGTTTAGAATATTTTCATTTTCAAATTTGAGCTGAGTAAAAAATAACACACCAGAGAGATGGTTAATATCTAGACAGAAATGTGTGAGACTCTGGACTATACTAAGGATTTTCATTTCTCAAGCTTCTGGAAGATCATACTGTGAGTAAATCCTTCGACGTATTCCTGATTCATTGATGCCTGAAAGTAAATCTTTTGGTTCCATGTGTAACATTGTTTTCATCTCACAATCCTGATTCAAATGTATTTTTTCAGAATTTATTTTGCAAGACAAATTTCATAGGTTCTTTAATACTGCTAATTTTGGCAATCTAAAAACTTGGTTTTTTTTTCTTTGAATGTATTATTTGTTGTGCAAATCAGAATATGACTGAGCTTTAGATTTGTGTTTAGAAATTATGAGAAATATTGAGATTAATCTTTTAATTTGGTATGTTAATGCTGTCTGCAGTACATCATTCTAGCAGAGACTCAAAGGACATTACTGTCCACGTATCGTGCTTTAAGATATATTCATTTGTTTCCTCATCTTCCTCCAAACAACTCTGAAAATGGGATAACACCTTTGAAAATAGCTGCTTGTTACTCCAGGATCAGTCACATCTGAAAAAAAAACCCTTTCAATGGAAACAACATGTACATTGTTTGTTTTTTCCTGCATTTTATAGGTATACTGGAATTTATCAGTATAGCAGTGGGCTTGGTCAGCATCCGAGGAGTCGACAGTGGACTCTACCTTGGAATGAATGAGAAAGGGGAACTGTATGGCTCGGTAAGTTCCCGCTTGTCTTGGGCAGTCATGATCCTGACGTTTTGTGGGAAAAATACTTGATAGCTCCTACAAGCCCCTGTTGCACTAGGTGCTGTGCTTTAAGTGTCTTGCAGTCTAATTAGAAACAAGACCCTGTGGGTGGTATAATGAATACGGGAGAGGGAAAAGGCGTCAAAATCAGGAACGAGTAATAATGCGGACGGATGACAATTTAGATACAAGCAATGGAGACTGATGGCCAGAGCTGGTCACTGAAGACTAAAGGATGTACTGTACGATTTGTAAAACTGTCCTTTCAGTAGGGACCTACAATGAGACAAAGTTGCTTTCTTTTGCATGTAGGCAGAGAGCTTTCTAGGAGTTGACAAAAGAAAGTAGAGGGGGAGGTAAAGGGTGGCATATGTGGATGAGAAAATGAGAAACAGGAGTGGATAAAAGTTATAAAAAGTAGAGGAACGAGGGCAAGAAGCTTGGTGGTCTTGTCCTGAAACTTCAGCTGGTGCTCCCTGCGGGATGGCAGCAGGAGTGAGTAACGGGTGTGAGGCAGGAGTAAAATTTGGTATTTCAGGTGTGGGTTAGACTGGCAAACCAGCCTACCTGTGTGTGTATGTGTGTGTGTGTGCAATGTGACCATTACCTGGGAATACTTGAGACATCTCATGTACACTGGGGTTTGTGCCCTGGGTAGATCGTGGGCAGGGGGGATCTGAAATCGAGCAGGTAACTCCTCAAAGAGTAGAAGGCAACCTCTTCTAGCAGTAAAGTATCAACCTCCGAAGTTGACAAGGGCTAGAGAAGCAGTTGTATTTGAGGAAGAGGATGGCAGGTTTGAAGGGTAAGCAAATGTCTGAAGTGAAGGGAGGCTGCGTATTCACTGGGGTTCATTAGAAGCACGGAGGAGAAGGTGACAAAGGTCGGCTGATGGTGTAAACCTCGCAGAGAGACACTCAAAAAGGAGTTAGAGTCAGTTTAGTTAGTTAGTTTATCAATCACAAAGTGATAGAGAGTGGCTTTGGGTGTAGCTGAAGATACCTGTGTCAGAGGGGAGTAAGGGTAACTGGGAAAAGGGTGGGGAGGGAACTGACTGGGACAGCAGTGGGAGTGGGAGGAAACATGAGAAGATGGTGATGAGTGGGCAGGTGAACACAGGAGTGAGAGGGAAGTCCAGCTTCCATATACATGATCCATGGAGGAATGTGAGGAAGCCAGACCAGGAAGATCCAGCAGAAGTGTTTTTATGGGAGTGTCCAGGTTCACTGATCCCTTTCTAGTAACATTTTGTGTGAGAGAGGGAAGGTAGAGAAGGGGAGGGGACTGTCTTCTGAGCAAAGAGCAGGCTAGGGGAGGAAGTCAGGAGGTACAGATCATGGCAGTGTATATGGGAGGCAGAAAAAGAGGTGGTAGAATGAGGGGCAAGGCTGGCATGGAGAATGTGTGGACATGGAAGAAGGGGAGATGCAGAGGTGGTGAGAACCAGTGAGTGGGAAAGGCCAAAGAAAAGGGATTTAGCATAAATGGCAGTATGGAGGAGGAGAAGGTTGGAAGGATGGAGAGGAAGAGAGAAGGGGAATGGATGCAATGACAGATGTAAACAAGTTGCCTGTGAGGAGTGAGTAAGTTGTCGTAAGTCACAATCTTTGTGCAGCTGATGAATGGGATAAAGAACTGGTGAAGTCATGAGTACTTTTATGGTTCAGTTAGGCAGCAAAAAGGCAGAACAACAACAGTAATATGAATCAGTAATGTTGATAATCATCAGTAAGAGTAATCGTTTAAACAAATAAACATAGTGAATCAGTTACTCTACACTTTAGATACTCATAAGAAGAATATGTGGTTATTGATAGAGCTTAAATGCACAGACTTGGGAAGGCAAATGTTACATCACTTTTCTGTGCAATTTTTATTTTGTGTTTGCAATATGTTTGATTGTCAGAGTGAATTACTCAAAACATTCTTTGCTGAAGAAATATGCACAAGAAATTCTTTGTACATTATTAAGCTCACTGCGTTAATAAAATAGTTGTTCTATGAACAGCAGTTCTAAAGGAGCCTGCTTTCCTAGGGGGTTTGTGTCTCACAGCCCAAGACATGGGTCTCCCTGACCTTCTGTCCCTGCAGTAACACAAATTCCCCAGCCTTTTGTGTTTCTTGCATGGAGAAAGAGAGAGAGTTAGCTGTCCATGCTCACCGGATTTTCAGTTTGCAGGGATTACATAGTTTACCACTCCCAAGTGGGACGTGCAAATGCTTTCTCTTCTTTACCCTGCCTCTGATTAGTCGCAAAACTGGTAGGAACTTAATTTTCTTGAAGACCTTTGCCTCCTGATTGAAACTGGTTGAGAAGCTAAGGAAGGACAGACAGGCAGGCAGATGGATGTACAATATAATTGGATAACCTCTTTTCCCTAAGAAGTGACGCTAAAAATATGGAGCCATTCATAATGGAGAACTGGCAATCTATAGGGCCAGAATGCAAAGTTCAGGTTAAAATCTGATGGATGATATGGCTTATTGTCAGCTTCCAGAGATGGGACATACTAAAGAGTGATGGTAATTGAATGACATTACTTCCAATGAAATATAACCTCTAATGGCTACTCAGTGTGATGATGCTTTAAAGCTTTGTCAACACTAGCAATCCTAGTGCCTATATTTCAGCAACTGTCAGCTCTCATAGAAACACTGAGATAAGCAGGCCTCAGAGCAGATTTTCGTGTCAAATTGGCTGGACATTTTTAAGTGACAGTGTTTTGCTTTTGGTTTTGGTCAAAAAATGCGATTAATCGAAAATGAAGTTATCTGATGGGAATAAACGTTGCAGTTTGAGTCAGAAGCAAGGCACAATCCAGCACAGAATTATCTTTCTGGAAAAAAAGAAGATCAGTTTAACTGAAATTAATTTTGAGACTGATACATGATAGACTGAGGTTCAGGTTTTTCACCTGAATTAAGCGGAGCGGTCACTTGAGTTGAAGTGTTCTGTAGCACCAGCAAGTTGTCCTTGTGCTGCCTGTGCTGGGAGGTGGGTCCCTCTGTCTTGGTTTCTTCACTAAGGGCCGTGAATAGCATCAGCTTTGTCATGGAGCAGGTACACTTATGAGGCTGTGAATGTGTTTTCTAAGGTGGAAAAACTGTTTCCCATGCACAACTGAATAGCAACCTAAGAAATACCTGATCCTGCTCTACATCAGCATTGTGGATCTAAGCAGGTGTCTTTCTGCAGGCATTTAATACTGCGGCACTTGACACTGCCGGAATAGATGCCCTGTGTCTATGACACTATCATATTTATATTCAAATTACTTCATGAAAAATATATTAGGTGTGAATCAAATTAGTAACCTAAAAGACTTCTATCCTTCTATATTTGTGTTTGAAACATTTGGCACCTATTTGTGGTGCCACTGGAGATGGGACATATGGCAAAGCAGAGCAGCCAGGATGGGTGATCGCTGCCAATTTTCATGAAAGGCAACAGGAAAGGCAGTTTCAGCATATCTTGATCCAGACATGTTCCTCTTGGTGTTCTCAAAGTGCTGCTTTCCTCCTAGATTAGCTGCCTGACAAACTTTTCCCAACTTGCCACTGTTACAGGGGGCAGTTCCTACTGCATCTTCTGGTTAAGAGAGCACAGTGACTCTCATGCTGCTCTCAGGCAGCAATGTATAACATAGGGTGGCTGTTTTCAAGTTCCTCCTCATCCCACGGATTTAGCCAGGGAAAGCTGAAGATATAAGTATGTGGTACTGCAGGGAAGCCAGTGGTAGCCACATAGCGATGACTTGGAGGCTGGTTAGTGGCAGCAGCTTTTCCTCCCATCTCACTCTGTTCCTGCTCTCCCTTTACCTTGCCTTCCCCTTGCAGCCTGCAGCTATGACTCATCATGTTTCACCACAGCTTCTGTGCTTGTCACTGGAGAGGAGGAAAAATCCAAACTACAGATAGGACCCAAAGGCTGTTAAGAGGAGACATGAAGACCTTTTTCCTTCCTGAGTACCAAACGGCTCTTGCCAACACCTCTGGCAAGAGTGTTAGCAAATGTGTCTTAGCTGTGCTCCTTAGTGCCATGCCATGGAGCGAGGGAGGTCTTTCTGATCAGTCCCATGACCTTCACGCCTTCATGGGCTGTCCCCATCCTCACGCTGCCCTGCACTGCTGCCCTTGGGAATATCAACAGTTGGCACTCACATGGCAGGCAGTGATGAGCACCCACACCACAGGATGCCCATCGTTCGCACTGCAGGCTGTCCTCTGAGGCAGTCCTGTGCTACCTCGAGCACAGCAGGACCATGGGACACCCTCACCTCAGCTGCCCTCGCTGTCCCGGGCTCTCCTGCAGTAGAGAGCTGTGCTACATCCCACTGCGGGCATCCCTGCCCCACCGATCTCCCATGGACATGGACCCGCCCCACTCCTCTTCTCGGACTACATATAAGGAAGAAATTTTTTATGATGAGGGTGGTGAAACACTGGACCAGGTTGCCCATAAAGGTGGTAGATGCCCCATCCCTGGAAACATTCAAGGTTAGGTTGGACGGGGCTCTGAGCAACCTGATCTAGTTGAAGATGTCCCTGCTTATTGCAGGGGGGTTGGACTAGATGACCTTTAAAGGTCCCTTCGAACCCAAACCATTCTATGATTCTATGAAATGCTGGTGTCTCCATTGCTCCTTGTTTTTGGCAGGTGGCAAAAGGCAGCTCAGGAGGAAAACTGGGAGTTGGAAGATCTGGGGCAGCTACAAGGGGAGACATGCGGGGGGAGGAGGAAGGCAAGAGTGGAGATGGTGGAGTTGTTGGGGAAGGGGTAGAGTGCTTGGAAGGAGAGGGGAGGGGAGAGTAGAGAGAGAGAGGCTTCATGTGCCCACAGAGCAGCTGGGACAGAGCCAAAGAGCCAGATCTGGAGCCAGGGAGGGAGGCTCCTCACGTCTGGGTTTCAGACTTACAGGGTGTGTGCAGCAAAGTCAGATTTAGGACTGCTTATAACAGGGTAATCAATT